TCGAAGTCAAAGTACTGCGATATCTGTGAAGCCCAACTGAAGAGTATTTTTGGAGAAATATGTACCCTTCTGACAATCAAGCGAGAAACACGTTCACGACAGCCAGATGGATCAAGTTGCGGTGTAGCTGTCCTTATGTTTTTCGAGTGCTTCCTCAGAGGAATTCCACTGCCAGCCAAACCAACCTTACCGCTCATACGATTTCTAAGGCTCCGCTATATGCTTCAATGTCTGATGTAGCTACATTTAGTTTTGCCAAATGAATTTATGCACATTAATGCTTCACTGTCTCGTTGGGGTTATCGTCGCTAATCAGTGCCTGGCTTTTCGTCTTAGTGCTTGAGCTACCGTGTTGACGCGTTTCTTGTGCTTGTGAAACTCGCGCTTGAGTCGCTGAAGCTGGTTTCTGGCCGTCTAACATCTCGTTGAACGCTTCCGATGTTCTCCCCCTCTCGATCGACGTGCACAACCTTCCGCGATGTCCCGCAGATGGAAGGACAGTCCGCCTACAAGTAAATGAATGCTGCCCGTGAAACACTAAGTCTTGTGTACCTTCAAGCAACACACCAGTACAACAAGTCACATTCATGCAACGTGCATGGCTGGATCCACGAGAGCCACACGATCTAATGTCTACAAACGATAAAAGTTTTGAAATCAACTGCCAATAAAATACCGAATATTACCGCCCTGAATTGTAATCGGTACCTGTAGTACATCACTCGGTGCCTACGTGCCTGGAGGCACTCGGACCATGTGCCCCTAACTCTCACTTAAGTACGAGCTGCTCGGTACCTTTAACAACGCTCATTAAATATAGTCCGGACTCTAATAGGGCGCATCCGTTATTTGGAAAAGTACTCTATTCGGCATTATCCGTTATTTCCACTTTTTTCGTTAATCGCTGGATGGAGAATAAATAAGAGTATCTATTGCTGTGTAAAACCGCTAATATGTTTCTTTCTTGTATTGTCCGCTAGATTTTGTGTGATCAAACGACCACAATTCTAGCGAGCAGTTTCGTCAGCAGTTTCATTGCTGAAAACAGAGCTATCGTTCTGGGACCTTCACCGAGAAGTTGCGACGCACAGCAGCCAGAGCACTTGCCTCTGGCCCAGAGGCAATTTGTGGGGACGACAGGCACCCCAACCAAACTTTATGCACAGGAGCACTAGCGACACTTGCACAGGCTTAGCAATATTTCAAACAAGCCTGTCGTTGTTGTGATCGCCTGTCAGATAGCCAGGTTGCAATCTCAACGCACGATCACACTGTTTCACTCGCCTGATGTAGCCATCTCCAGTTTTTTCACCATTTTCTTCTAAATCCCCACAATCCAACGACACCTTTCCTCATCCACCAATCAGCACAAAGTTTTACCAAATCCTGTCCAATCAGCTCGCAAAAAAACCACGAGAGTGCTGGTCTCTGCTACACTGAAAGAAGAAAAATGCGCGCGGAATCAATGAACCGTCCATACAAAAACTAAAAGGAAACTTGAGCCCGAGATCTCTCCGCCTCGGCTTGTTCACTGCTGTCAATAAGGAGCTGCAGGCGCCTGCTCCTCGCTGCTCTCGAGCCCCAGCGCCAAGTCTCTCTCATATCAGCCAGGTGCGAAATCCTACACATAGGCTCAAGTGCCTCTGCTGCCTCTACCGTCGAGAAATCCTAGTATTTATAAAAATTGCGTTTTTATTCATTTACTAATGCAGAGCATCTCTGGATGGACGCTCAGTCTTCAGCTAATCGCGCGTCCTCTTCCTCGGACTCGACACCCTCCAAGAAGCGTAGAGCCACTTCTGGAGCCTCAAATCAAGGGCTCGGAGTCGCCGTACCAGCCAGAACTGAGCCCCACAGGAAACGGAGTGGCTTGCCGCTGCTACTGTGCACCCCCGGGGCCGAGAACCCCATCCTGGCAGCACTAGGAGGGACTCCGCGCTCTCAAGCAGCCGTCGTCGACGGATTACCAGAGCCAGAGCCTCTCGATCTGTCCCAGTGTAGCGCGGCGACGTCCATGGACAGCATGAGGGAGGAGAAGATGGAGACTCACGTGAAGGAGGAGAAGAAGGAGAGAGATGCGATAGTGAAGGAGGAGAAGGTCAACGCTATGGACCTCAATCAGGAACACAAGCCTCATGTCAAGACGGAGAAGAGTGAGACCAAATACAGAGTTGACGCAGCTCCATTTGGTAAGCAAGGTGCAGACTGGCTGCGTGTGTGTGTGTGTGTGGAGAGGATTGTTGATGTGTGAGTGGTGTATTGACAGTGGGCAAGAGGAAACGCGAAGACGCGAGTGAGGAGGACAAGACGACGGACTTTGTGGCGTATGCCAGGGAACACATTCACAGCCAGGAAGCAGGCGAGGAGGGATTCTCGATTGACCCGTCGGAACGAGCGGTGGAGCATCGTGCAAGTAAAGTGGTACGTCGAGAGATATTGATTACCTCTCCTGCTGCCAATGATGACGAAGAGTGGGAAGGAAATGGGCCCCTTGAAGTGAAAATGGAGGAAGTGGAAGCGGTGCTGACTCCCTCGGAGCACTTCGACCTGCAGCCTATCGACATCATCTTGCACGTGTTCTCCTTCTTAGTGACGGCGAAGGATCTGCAGAATATGGCCCAAGTGTCGAAGAAGTGGAAAGAGCTCACCAGTCGACGCTCGTTGTACCGATCTCTTGCCAGTGTGACGCCGGAAGGATCAGTGAACTGGATCAACTTCAAGAACTTGGGTATAAAGAACAAAGGGACCGAGGGAACCTGTATCAAGTGCTGTCAGCGATCGTCTGGCAAGATCTTGGCTATGAAGAAGGCCAGAGTGTTCCCCAAGGTATGTGTGCAGAACGAATTTTGGTTTATCCGCTTGTACTAATACTCGCGCTGGTATGTGCCACAGGGCGAAGGAGTTCCTTACTACATGCTCCGAGAACTAGCTGTGCTGAAGGGAATCAAGCACGACCACATTGCGTCTCTTGAGCTCATTAGTCTCGCAAAGGACGAGCTTCACGTATTTTTCCCGTACGTGGACAAAACGCTACATGAAATTATTAATCCTTCGGGTGACCCGAATGGAGGTCGCGTGTTGCCGGAGGCTGTGGTAAGTACAACGCGGGAAACGTCATCCTCTTCGCCTTCTTTACGGTTTCTCTCGTTTTATTCGTCAGATTCGCAAACTTCTTCACCAACTTCTGGATGCCATCGCGTACTGCCATCGCCGAGGCGTTTTGCACCGCAACCTCAAACCGAAACATCTGCTTATCAAGACGTCCGACACAGACGATCTCAGTAAGTTGGTGGGCTTGCGCATTCGCAATGGAGTTACGTTTGGTGTCTTACTTTGTCGGGTATGCTTCAGGCGATGCTACGCTGCAGATCTCTGACTTTGCGCTAGTCCGAGCTACAGGAATCCCTCGTCGAACCTACACAATGGAGGTGGTGACGCTGTGGTACCGGCCGCCAGAGATCTTGATGGGAGTGCGCGGATACTCGTCGGCGGTAGACATCTGGTCAGTTGGCTGCATCTTTGCTGAGATGGCCCAAGGCAAGCCCCTCTTCACAGGCATTTCAGAGATTGATCAGCTGTTCCAGATCTTCAGCAAGCTGTCGACACCCACGTCCGAAACGTGGCCAGGCTTTTCGTCCTTGCCGAACTATCACTTTGAGTTCCCACACTGGAAGCGCCGACCTTTGAATCGCCTGTTCCCGGGAATTTCGGATCTTGGTATCGACCTGCTGACGAAGCTGCTCGTATACAACCCCGACCAGCGAATTACAGCCGAAGATGCGCTTCGTCATCCGTATTTCTCCAGCGAGGCGCCTTCGTTTTTACCGCTGACACCAAAGATTCCTATGGACCAAATGTGCTACACGATGAGCCGCGCAAGGATCGGCCCGACTCCTGAACATGTGGAGCTCTTCCACGCATACTTGCGCCAGACAGAGCTAGATTCATGGAGAGAGATCAAGTACTTGAGGTGCGTGGGGTGAAGCATACACAAGGGGAGTTCGTGAATACTTACGATGTCCATGCATGTTGCAGCCGCCAGAAAACGCTCCGACCTGCCCACCGATCAATGCTTGTCGACTGGCTAATTGAAGGTAAGGGATGCTGACTTGCGCGGCTGTAGTATTGTGTCCTGACACGTACATTTCGTTTGCTTGTGCTCTGATTTAGTGGTGGACGTGTTCGAGATGTGCCTGAGGACCGCTTTCTTGGCAGTTAATTACACAGATCGATACCTGGACATCGTCATGGTGAAAAAGACGCAGTTTCAACTTCTTGGAGCGACGTGTCTGCACGTCGCGTCCAAGTGTGAAGATGTATCCTACATCGGAGTGGAGGATCTCGCCATGTGCGCCGACAACGTGTACACGTCCGTGGAAGTGCTGGAGATGGAAGAAAAACTGTTGAACACCCTCAACTTTTCACTTTCGGTGCCCACTGGTACGCGGCAATCATTTTCCTGTCATGCATGGGCTTGAATGAAGCTCACTAGTTTTTCTTTGTGCAGCGCTGGATTTTCTCAACATCTACGAACGTATGATCCCACCTATCCAGAAGAAGACGTCCATGCTGGCGCATTACTTGCTTGAGCTGGCCCTACAAGAGTACCAGTTTCTGAAGTATTTGCCGTCGGTTGTGGCTGCGTGCTGCTTGTCGATGGCGATGTACACGATGGACGGGTTCCCAATGGTAGGCCTGCATCTTTTGTGACTTAGAAACTGTGCTATGGAGCTGTAGGTAGTAACAGGATGTGTGTATTTGCTGCGCCTTTAGACGAAGGAACTGGTGGATGCTTGTCGGTACAACTGGTCGGACCTGAAAAAGTGTATGGGAGAGCTCCAAACGCTGTACTCTAACTCGCCGTCGAACAATTTGGCGGTGATCAAGAAGCGCTACTCGAAGGCTGAACGCTGCCAGGTGGCGAATGTATTGCCACCGACGACGTTCAGTATGGCATTTTAGTTGGTTTAGTCTGTATTTGTGGGCTACATATTTAGAGCTCGGTCTCTAGGTGAGTGAACTAACGTTACCTACGCTGCTGGCATCACCAGTTCCAGGAAGCGATTACGTGCTCGTCCAACCTTCAGACAACGAGAAAACTACAACATAACAAAGACCGAATACAAGCGAGCACTTGACGGATTTCTGGCGAGCGAATGAGCAACATGGCACGAACAAAAACAAGGATGATGAAACTATTGTCGACGTTTTATAGCGATGCGTGTTGTTTGTCTCTTATCCCGTGACCTTCTCGTCTTCATTGCTACTGTCCGAGTCAACACCATCAACTGCTTCAGCTGAAGTGGCCTCGTCCTCGCCTTCACTTTCAACTCCTACACCTTCGTCGGCTTTCTCGTCAGCCTCGGTTGGCTCGAAGAGCATCCGACGCAACTTCGCTTCGAGATCCTTCGAGATTTCAGGGTTCTCCTGTAGGAATACCTTCGCCTTCGCCTTGCCCTGAGCGATGGGTTCTAGAGCACGACCGTATTAGCTTCCCGTACAGCTAGGAATGCATTAACTCGATACTTACCATCACTTCCAGCCAGACTGTACCACGCGCCTGACCGCTTCAGCAGACCGTGCTGCACACCCAAGTCAAGCTACACAAGCAAACGCATCAGCAAGTCGCCATCGTAATCAAAACCAACAGCATTGCCGCTCGCCCTTACCAACTCGGACTGTCGATCAATACCACGACCGAACATCATGTCGAAAGTCGCCACCTTGAAGGGAGAAGCCAGCTTGTTCTTGGCTACTTTCACCGCAGTCTCGTTGCCAACAACCTGGTCACCTTCCTTGATCGCAGTCTTTCGACGAATATCCAGCCGCACTGACGCGTAGTAGCGCAACGCAGTGCCACCCGACGTCACCTCGGGTGATCCAAAGATGATGCCCACTTTTTGACGAATCTGGTTCAGGAAGATGATGGTGCAGTTGGACTTTGACAGCGACCCCGTCAGCTTACGCAGCGCCTGGCTCATAAGCCGCGCCTGGAGAGCAATCTGCTGGTCTCCCATTTCGCCCTCAAGCTCCGCACGTGGTACCAGAGCCGCCACACTGTCCAGCACCACGAGGTCCACAGCTCCCGACCGGATGAGCGTGTCCGCAATCTCCAGAGCTTCTTCTCCAGAGTCTGGCTGGGAGACGTAAAGGGCGTCGATGTCCACCCCCAAAGCCTTGGCGTAGTGGGCGTCAATGGCGTGCTCTGCATCAATGAACGCACACACTCCACCCTCGGTCTTCTGAGCCTCCGCGATGCAGCTCAATGCCAGTGTCGTCTTGCCAGAGCTCTCGGGACCGTAGATCTCCACCACACGTCTAGCAATTAATATGTCAAAAGTTGCAGTCGAATTTCCAACCCTCCTTCGTCATTAAACGCACCCTCTAGGGATGCCACCGGTACCTAGAGCCAAGTCCAGTGACAAGGAGCCGGACGAGATGACGTCCACGCGCTCCGCAGTCTTACTACACCACGAAAATTCACATTTGTATCAACATTTGGCTCGATCATCAATAAGCCTAGCAAGGCTGCGTACGTTGAGCCCAACTGCATGACGGCACCCTTGCCGAAGCTGCTCTCGATCTGGCGGATTGCCATCGTCAATGCCGCGCTGCGATCTGCGCAGCATGAATGTTTATTATTCAATATTGACACAATCGCCTCGTAGTAGCCGGACCGGAGCCACTAGCGGCGCTAACGCGACCAGATTTCGCTGCTGAGCGCTTGAAGCGCACGCAAGATAGATACGGCGAGATGGCGGTCGCTGCCGCCGGTGCTAGACGCGGACCTAGCACCGGAAGACGCAAACCGATACGTAGCATGTTAGATGTGACACTGTACTCGAAATGGGTTGATCAACTATGAAGTTCGTACCTGAAGAACCATTTCTAACAATTAAATTATCATTTCTAACGAAGTGGCATAGTTTTCGGCCACCAACTGTGTTCGACAATGGTGGAGACGATGAGGGCTGGCAAGCGACCAATGCTCTCCACGCGACGCAGCAGCCAAGGAGGCATTGCCATGTCCTTGGAGATGCGCCCACCTCGCGAGTTGCTTGAAAAAATCGGCATCAAAGGCAAAGAAATCGTCAAGATCATCAAGGACCGGGACTGGGGAATCGTGGAGCCTCACGGTCTGCAGCAGCAGAAACTCTACTACCTACCAGAGAGCAAAGAAAAAGGAGACCAAGCCAAACAACATGAGGATTATTTCGTGGGCGAAGGAGAACTCTACGCCTACATATTGAAGCAAGGTAGAGTGCACTCTGCCGAATGGTAGAATCCCTATAGCTGCTGACTACTGCTGACTTGCTCAACTAGGTGGTCTACGATATTTACTACCGGACGACTCGGATGTGTCCGACGTAGAGCCCACACAACCGTCCAAGGTAGAAGAGGAGGTAGAACAGAGCAACAGTGTGGAGAGTTCTACTGAGGAGAGTGACTCTGTATTGGACCACTCATCAGCGGGGACGACGACGGGAGAGCAACGCAAGTGGAAACGACGGAAGAAACTTTCGACAGCGAGAAGCAAGTCAGTGGAGAAAACCCCGCCTCCTAAGCGTCGACAGAAGTCGTCCAAGCAGAGCAGTAGCGTTGATGGTAGTACAGCAGATGAACTGGACAGGATTCGGATCGATCCGAAGGTCAAATTGGAGCGAGCGACCTACGGAGGGATCGGCCAACAGACAGAGTTTAGTGAGTACGAGTTGTCGTGGAAGGCGAGAGGCTGGAGAGCGCAATTGTTGCAAGACATGGACGTACATCTGCTACGATCGGTAGCAGCAGTGGATCGACGCCATCGAGCTATGGAGACATCAAACGAGGAGGGTCAGAAGAAATCGGGTCGACCAATGGAAGGGGTTGGACCCCATGCACGAGAGGCAGCGGAGATTCTACAAGAACTCGAGGGCCTTCAGCACAGTATTCGTGCATCACAAGACGATTTGTCGTCGATGATTGAGTCGACCATCTCAAAGGCGGAGCGATTGACTTTTCCCGACCGGATCGATCCGATTGGGCGTATCGGAATCCCCGGCTTCGTGTCCACGGGCTCAGGGACGCTGATCCTTGTGCGTGATACCGAGCGCTATCTGCTTCTCTTTGTTGCGGCTGTGCGTCGATACCAACGGGCGAGGAGGAATTTTTGTGCCGAAGAGACTGCGAGTGGGCTATCGCAGCCATGTAATCGAGTGGTGAGACGAACAGACTTGCGAGCTCTTCAGCTGAGCATCGAAGAGTCAAAAACTGAGCTGCAGGAACTGGCAACTACGATCGCTGCAGAGGCGAGCAAGGCGTGTCTGGAATACTCACAGGATTCTACCACGGTTGGATCTCCACTGAGCACCACACAGGGATCTTCACAGGGTCTACAGTCTCCCCAGAGTTCTTCAGGAACTGTACGTGCTGATGCCACTGGAACATGAGTGGGTACTGAGTTTGGATAACCATAACGGATATGAACCAAGTTATCTAACGTGATTATCCGGATATGTTTTGTGCAGACCGATGACGATGGTAGCACCGACCACGACCAGTCCCCCGGCCAGCAGAGCGCATCGTCGCCTCGAAGACTCGAAGGAGGCCAGTGGAACGAACCCTGTGCAACTATGTAGAGCGACGTTTTGTTTCAAATTCGAACGTCAGGAAATAGAGATCACCCTGTCATGACGAAACCGGAGAGCTGGTCTGTTGTAACATTTGTCCCTGAATCGAATGGACACTAAAAGGTCGGCGACGCTTAGCCGCTAACTGCCACATTCGCCCCCAAGCACCGCTTCGTGGCAGTGCAAGAATTTCTGTCTAGGTGGCAACAATGTCGGAGCTCCGTCGGTCTATTCGTCGTGAGAAGAGCACAAACTATGGAGCGATCTTGCCGATGAAGCGCACGCTGCAACTCTCGAGTCCGCACCACCACAATTTGCACGCTGTCAACTTTGGTAAGACACGGATCGACCGGTATGTTACGTGTCGTGATAACTAACAAGTGGGTGGTAACACACGTTAGAAGCAGAAAGTGGCGACTTGTCCTCCACCTCAAAGATTCTCAGCGACAGTCACGGCTCACGGAGTCGTGATCGCCTCAGCAGGTACAGAAGACACCCAATTCGCTCGCCTTCTGAAGCTAAGTGTGCTCTCGTGCAGATACCTGGATCACAGCTCAGTCGGAGTGGGGTTGGACGTCTTCCTGGTGCTTGTCTCGATCGTGTTTGCAAGCTCGTATATTGTATTCACTTATGTGAACTCCAATGAGGTCAGTTCTCTACTGTTACTCTGTCCACAAGCTATCATTCTCTTACGTGTTTATTGGAATCGCAGATGCCCTTCAGCCTCTGGATCACGGACGTCGTCTGCTCGGGGCTATTCGCTGCCGACTTTCTTTTCCGAGGCGTTTATCTCTCCAGTCGTCGTCGAGACTACATGACCTCATTCCCGGGTCTGGTAACTCTCGCCGTTGTGCTGCCCGTGCTTCCCACGTCGTTCTTCCTTCAAAACCAGTTGAGTAACTTTTGCCCACGATATCTAACAGATAACTGTTGCTCTAACTTATGCTGTTCATGTACCCAGCACTCTCTGGCATGGCATCTCCAACTGGCGCTTCGTATACCCGCTGCGGTTCCTCATGTGCTACGTGGAAGCCAAAGCTGTGCTGAGTCGCTGTCATGGCCTCATGTCACCTGTCCAGCAGTTCGCGATGCTCTGCTATCTCCAGCTGACGATCATCATTGCAGTCGCTGCTGGAGTCATTCAGATCGCGGAGACTGCCGACGACAAGTACGCGAGCGGGAATCTCGGCGAGTGGACGTTCTTCAACTCGTTCTTCAACTCGGTGCTCGCGTTCGTGACCATCCAGTCTCCTCCTGCCGATAACCCACTGGCTAAGGTTTGTGTGGGCGCGCTCGTGTTGGTCCTCATCTTGGTTGTTCCGTACCAAGTGTCCCAGATCCTGGCGCTCGGCAGCTCCTTCTCTCCGTACGAACTCGCGAGCCACACACCGTCACCGACTATCAAGCACATAATACTATGCGGAGACCTGACTCCGTCACGCATCGACCATTTCTTTCGAGAGGTTTTTCACGACGACCACGATCTGGCTGATATCAACGTTGTTGTGTTGAGCGAGGAGGAGCCAGCCACGTCGCTTATCGCGCTGCTGATGGACCCTTTCTTCGAGAAGCGAGCGAGTTTTATCCAAGGCTCGTTACTGGATGTGGACGATGCGCAGCGAGCAGCTTGTGCTTCGGCCGACGCCATCTTTATCCTCGCACGGCGCGTTGCAGGGGAGTCTCCCGCCAGTAGCGACCACCGAGCACTGATGCGGCTTCTTGCAGCTCGCCGTGAAGCCCCCAACGCTCGAGTGTTTGCGCAGCTTCACTTGTCAGCAAACCGAGGCCTTGTAGCCGACTTGGGGGTGTCAAATGTGCTCTGCTTCTCGGAAGTGATGCACTCGTTGCTCGGTCAGAACTGCGTGTGTCCTGGGTTCTCGACCTTCATGTACAGTCTCACGTCCACCTCCAGCTACGTTACAAGCGGGGACTATGACGATCCTCCAGAAGCTGATGCCTCATGGGAAGATCGGTATTTACACGGCTCGAGTCACGAGGTTTACTCGGTAGAGTTGCCTCCAGCCTGTGTGGTGTACGGTAAAACGTTCTCGGAAGTGGCGTCTCTCGCCTACGCGCAATGCTCCGGAGTGATTGTGTTTGCCATCACCACAGCGCAGTCGTCCAAGGACAAGGGAGGCAAGTTGCTGTTGAACCCTGGAGACTCGTACACGTGCATTGGAGCCGAGACAGTCTTTGTGATTGCGCAAGATCGACGCGAAGCGAATGCCGTGACTGGAATGCACAACAGTGACACCATGCCAGAAGCCTGGACGTCTCAACGTCGAGGATCCAAGTCCAGACACCTCTCACGTGGAGGAAGTGCCCGAGTCAAGTTGGCTTCAACGACTGGAAGCAGCACTGGAAACGACACACCTCGCAGCTCAGGAGATTACGAACTTTCATCGCCTCATCGACGGCAATCGAGGTTCGTGAACTGGCAAACCGAAGCGACAAGTCCTGCGTCATCGTTTAGTCAGGACCACAAGAGCACTTGGAAACCGGAAGACGAGGAAGAAGAGCAAGGTGACCCTCTCACTGTCAAGACAAGTGGACTCGTTTCTACACCTGAACTGGACCCGTTCGGCCCACCAGAAGCAGCAGTTGTTCAGGACGTGGCCTCTTTGAGCTTGGAGACTGGCCACATTGTGGTCTGCGTGCTCTCGCCTTTGTCGTTCCCTCATCATCTCGAGTACTTGATTGGCCCGCTGCGAGTGCGTGCACTACGACAACACCGTCCTGTAGTAATCGTGACTGCAACGCTGCCTGAAGTGGACGACTATGAGCAGTTCCAGCGCTTCCTGGGCGTTAACTTTGTGGTGGGAGATCCATTCCGTCATCGCACGCTACGACGAGCTGGGATTCACGACGCATTCCGTATCGTCCTGATGGGGGGCGAAGGCGAAGTCTCGGACGCTGGCACGTCAGAACTTCTCCAAGATGCCGTCAGTACCTTAAAACTCTTTTTAAACTGCCTCTAACGCTAACGCTACCTCATTCTTCATGTGTAGGCTTGCATCGCGCTTCACAAGACGATCGTGACCCTGATCGGCCCCTCGCGAGCACCTCGTATCATCACAGAGCTCGTAAACCGCGCGAATGTCCACTTTGTGGCGCAGAATCTCACCGCGAGTGGCTGGTTTCCACTCGCGGAGTGCGACTCTGCTGCTGCGTCCGCCTCTTCGCTCGAGTTGGCTCGCAACTTTGCCGTTTCTCCTGCTTTCGCGTCTGGACTCACGTACAGCACGTCGCTTTGCGATAGCTTGCTCATCAACCAGTTTTTCAACGCGCGCATCAAGAACATCCTGCGTGAATTCATCTTCGCCTCTTGGACGGAAGGTGGAGTGGGTACACTTCCTAGCTCTCCTGCTGGAGGCTTTGGAGAAGCGCTTGCGTCTCCAACGTTGTCCTCGACGTCAGCGATGGACGTTCAACGCAGCTCTCTCTTCGCCGTGGAGGTGCCGCTGGACTTTGTGGGTCGCACCTTCGAGTTTGTCTTCCACTACTTGCTGTCGTCGGATGGTATTCTCGTCATTGGACTGTATCGCTGTCGTCCCGATGTTATGCTGCATGCGTCTGCTGTGCACTCACTCAGCGAAGGCCAGTGGACGAAAACTGCCACGAGGGCCCGTATCGAAGTATCTGAGAGCGAACGGAGTGTCCCGTTCGGCTACGTGTACGTGAACCCGCAGCCGCATGAGGTACTCACCGGCAACGATCTGCTTTACGTGCTATCGGACATTCAGCCATGCTGGGCGGACCCAGATATGGAGTAGACGGAAGATACTTTCATTTAACCCCAACACGAAGAATTTTAGAGTTCATGACCGCATGATTACCTGCATTATAGCTCTCAACAACTATGTTCTTATAATCAGGGCCAACTCATTCGGAATCTGCCGATTTTTCTGCAAGAAATAAATTTATTGAGGTAACTCGGCACTTACATTTGAGACTAGATGCTAGAGCTTATTTCCAGGTCTTAAGACATCGGATTCAAGATAAGCCTGCGGTGAGAAGAGTCGTTCCCACCGGGAGAAATTTAAAATGACTCGCTCTGCTTTCGGCTCCTAATCTAGTCGGTCACTCGATCGCCTTTGGCAGCTACGTTTCTTTATCTGCTACCGGTTAGCGGCAATCTTCGTTGGTTTCAGGTTGCTAACCTTATTTTTTTTCTACGACCGGTGCCGCACGAACCATTTAGAGTGTAGTAGCTGACCTTCCGTTTTCGTACCTAAAAGAGCAGCAGAACTTTGGCTGTGCATTTTGCACAAATACAGCTGAAGAACACTCCTATTACCTCGCGTTTTACAAGAGCTTTCAAACAATACCAAAAGTGAAAAAAGGTCGCAGCCCCTCAAAACACACCTGGATATAACTTTTTTGGATGACCATAACTTTTCAGGTATTAAGCATTTTGAAGCCCACAAAAGCTTAAAATACACAAGCGTTTGATTGGCGCTCTTAAATCATAATTTGTACCTAGCTTGATGCAGTCTCATTTGTACCACCCGCGAGTTAGATCGGTATCCGGATATTCCTCTTACCCATCATACCCCTCAAATAAAGCAATATTTATTTGAAGTTTTGAAGTAAAAGAACATTCATACCGACTTCCCTATGTCTATTCTATCCAACAGTTTATATGCGGCAGCGCCCTCTTTTTTATTTAACAAATGTTATTGCTTCTCAAATGTCAGAGACGAATTTGTTTATCAGTTTTTATTAAATTTGGGCGATACCAAATATCGGCTGCCTAGCAGCCTATTGCTATCTCAGTATACAGTATATTCTAGCAGCCTACATGTACTGTACTGATAGGCCCGATATTTGTTTACATGTTGCTAAATGTCGTGTAGACCCCGGCCTAAGCTCAGTTTGATTGATTCAAGTTCAACGTCGGCAAAGTAGGCTCGAACTGTAACGCTCACGTGTGTATCAGAATCGCTGTACCGCAGTTCGTCCACAATGTTTTGTTCATCAATAACATACCAAAACACAAGAAAAATTGTGAGTACGTCAAGTACTTTCGTACTTCTATCTTTCTCGCGTATCGTTGCCTTCAGTTTTACCACATGGTAGCCAAGATTGCATAATCCCAATGAGTTTAAGGAGCAACAATGCAGGCTGCTTAGCAGCAGCAGTGGGGACTTTGTCCTGTATTAACATGCACAACGATGCAGTTAGAAATGGTATAAATAACAATCATCTATTTTTGCAATCTCGTCACCCGCGCAGCTCTACAGTAGTCACACAACCAGTATGAACTTCACCGGATACGGCAAATATCATACTCGGAGACACAAACTAATCTCATTGCTTCGAGCGTATTAGTAGTGGTGAGCCACGAGCGGTAAGCTATTAGCGCATTTTCACTAAAGAGTGAAGATAATTGAGTGACGCAGGGTTCTGCAAATATTATTAAATGAGTTTCTAGTTATAATAGCTACCTTTTCGGTGCTTCTGCAAATAAATGACATGTCGACCATGAAAAAATAAATAAAGCAACAACGTATACAATGACGCCGACAACTGCCGACGTTTATCCACCTTGCCAGCGCACATTTTGATAACCTGGCATGCCAGGCTGCCACAATGAGCAGCGCTCCAATTGGTGGCGAAGGCTGATCGCAAGCATCATGCGCGACGAAGAGCTTTTATAAGCTCCCAAGTGAGCCTCAATTTGAGAGTCTTCGAAGGCTGCCTGAAGAATCGACGTGCCGTCAGGGATGCTCAAGAATGTATTTAAGCTTACTAAAAATAAATTCTTTAAACTCAAGAACGCCGATTTGTACTGACATCCTGGCGAAGCGCTGTAAGATTTGCTCGAGCAAATCTACAACCGTACCTATGAAAACAGCCAATGCGCTTCTGGTTCACGATCACAAGCAGAATCTCTGCACTCGTGATTGGATACATGTACATGTACAAAACACTCGAACAACATGTAGGCTGCCTACAGTGGGCATCACGCATCAGGTTAAGAGATTCCCAACGCTCTTCACTTCATAACCGGCTGGTAAACCCACAAGTGCAGTTATCATTTTTCAGATTCTCCTCGAAAAGTCATGATGCGAGAAGCTCCCTCCTCCTGGTGGCTATCACGCTCGTTGCAGGCTGCGTCGGCTTCATTACCGCCGAGAACTTTGTCCAAACGCAAGGCCAGCCGTCTGCCTTTGAAGTCTCCCAGGGCCGCAACCTCAAGTCTACAGCTGATACAGAAGAGAGGGCGATTCCCGTGGACGGCGAAACTAGAGCCGGAGTGGCGGGTATTGCTGCCAGGGTCAAGGCGCTTTTGGTTAGGAATCCGACCAAAATGAGTGAGGCGAAGAACAACGTGCAAGGGGCGAATGAAGCAATAAAGAAGGTGAACTCGATCATTGGTCCAGGAAAAACTAGGACCGAGCTCACTCCGACTAAGGTGAAACAACTGGAAACATACGCCCATAGCAGCTCGGACAAATGGTGGGCTATGGCGTACTACACCGCTAATATTCTCGGCATCGGACTCATGGTTTTTTTTGTGTACGGCACTCTCTTCCTCGGATGGCGCCCAATCGGAATGGGCGGGAACCCGAGGCCCAACAACTGATAGGGATGTTTTGTACTACCTCCGTCCGGAAAAAGATAACCATTTGTTTTTTTTTGCGCAGCGCTCCGCCTCGTTCATTGCGTTTATTAATTTGTGAGAGGCTGGCTAGCTAGCTTTATGACCGAGAGCAGACAGTGAGAAACTAAGCAAGGCACAGGCGTTCTTGCTCCGCCGTACAACTACAGATACAAAAACGGATCTAAGGCGGCAACTACATCGCCACATTCTGAAGGGGCGCTCAGTGGGGCTTCTGGAACTTCAGCGGTAGGCGGTGGGGGGCTGCTCGCTGCAAGAAGCAGCATGTACGCGTTAGCATTGGCGAGTGAGGTAGCGTCACAAGGCAGTGACGTAGGGAGAGTGCCAGCTTGTACTTGCTTGTCCTTGTGCCGGAGGCGCGCCAACTTGTGCGTGGGTGTAAGTAGTGGGCGGGTCTGTCTGAGCGCACGCCGTATGTAGCCTTCCTTGATCAGCTGCTGAACCAGGTAGCAGCTCACGTTGGACGCGCGCTTAAGCAGACGCTGGTTTTCGCGCTCATTGACAGGAGCTGCAGCGATTCTCTCGCACAGCTCAGCTCGAACCACCTTCTTCCTACCACATGCGCTCTTTCTTGACTTGACCACGGCTGCTACTCGATCTCCCATCGAATTGATTCCACGCCTCCAAATTCGCTCGACAACTTGGCGGCCCACACGGAAGTACGCTGCAACCCGAACGATCTCTCCATGTTTGAGCACTCCTCCCACGCTGCGAAACAGTAAGGTCTCCCAGACGGCCTGGCGCTCACTGTCTGTGATCTCCCCCAGGTGCCAGCTTTCAAAATGAAAGCTGGGAGCGGGAGCCAGTCTGGTCGGGAAAGCGCGGGAGATTCGAAATCCAAAAAGTGATCGGCATAGAGGGGGTATTGCTTTGGGTAGGCTGTAATGTAATTTAAAATGGTTATCTTTTTCAGAGCGGAGGTAGTATTCAGACAATCGTTAAAAATCAAATACTACTACGTAGTACGTAGTACTATCTACGTAGTAGTATCTTTTGTGCGCAGGTGTGATACATGTATTCTTTTTCGGGCTGTACCTCGAGTACGTATCGTTTCCTTCAATATTACTACGATGTATTAATAGTATTATTAATGCTAGTAAAACAGTGCTAACGTTGCTTGAAGTACACGGTAGTTAGTGGACCAACTACCGTGTACTTCAAGCAACGTTAGCTACGCGATCGCATTCTAGACATGCAACGTTATAATTGCGACTCATTTAACCGCTTGATGCAATTCATGCTCTGTGCTCCACGCACGGCGCCGGCACGTTCTACGTAGGAGCTCCACACTGATCGACGCTATGTCCTTCGCCGTACTAAGGCCCGACAGTACGCCCCTCCCCACTCTTACTTGCATGTTAGTACTGCACCGACACGTCCCATAGTTCCCAGCCCCTGACGAGCGGGTTAAAGTTTAAATATTCCCAGATCATACTAGTACATGTAATACCTTAATATTAATCTCTTAATTTTTTTACAAGTGTTAAAATTTTATACTGAGATAGCAGCTACCATTCCTTTCGCCACACCTTTTGCCACGAAAGGAATGGTAGCTGCTATCTTAGTATAAAATAATACTGGCAAAGAAGAGTTTTAACCAGCCTCTATAAGGGCAATTCTTAGCCCTTTTACAGGAAGGTGTTACTATCATTTACAAACATGTAAACGAACATGAATTGGCAGGATAGTGTACTTATGCAAAGCTGTACTGGTTTTAAATCCACTCCAAGCAGATGCTTATCGTCATTTTCGTTTGGCACGGAGAAATCTAAAGTAAATGGCAGTCTGGAAATATATGACATGAGCTTCTTTAAATGTGTGAACTTTACGACTTAATCGTATTCAGGATTCGAATCCAGGTTGTATCCGGTACATACCCGGTGCGAAACCAAAACTACACATATTGACGATATTGTTTTCAAATGCAAAGATATCCTTGAAATTCTTGAAGCTATCAGTAATCTTAAGTAGCTACTCATCCTGTTCGTATCCCTCATCCACGTCGCAGCGCTGAACGCCAATTGTCTTGAGCAGGTGCCTCATTCGCAGATACGAAAGTAAATCGTAGAGACTGTTGGTCCATGGTCTTCCGGGAAGTAGTAGCTCCAAAAAAACAAGGCACCAGATACCGCATGAGTTGCCGTCTTGCTGCGTGCACCAGGTAATCCCCTGGTACGTGATTTGACCCTCCATACCTACCGTAGGCTCGATCGCTAGCTGTACGCTTGACTTCAGCACTGAAAAATTTGGTCTTCCGCTGAAGTGGATCGAGCAAATATCAAGTTTGCTTTGGTTTGTCTACCAGCTAAGCTCCTCCATGCTTATTCATGCAGATAACCATAACTAAGGGATCGCTGTAAGGATCCATCGCTCCAAACCCTGCAGCTGTCTTCTTCTTCGTTGTGTACATCTGCTTCAGCGCTAACATGGCCGAAATCACCGATGATGTATGTAACCAAAGATTTCGCGGTAGTCCATAAGTGAACAGCCCAGACACCACTCAGGATCCAGACGAATTTGTCCCAGCGTCATATGTCTTATTGCATTTTGGTACTCCAGCTACGATGACAAAAGCTATTAGAAGTGGTCTCACCCGATACAATCCAGTTCCGGTATTCTGATAATACCCTTACCTTTGTAATATCACAACAGTCAGTAAACGGCGAAACCACATCCTCGATTTGCCACTCAGCGCCTTCGATCCAATCCAGAGTGAGCTGCACAAGCTGGAATCGATTGCGTGCCTCTTGAACATTCGCCAGGGCTTCTAGCTGACCAAACGTCGCGAAGCCAAAGTCATGCCAGTGCGCAAGCAGATTCAAATTGTCAGTCGCCTTGATCGACTGAATCGCCTCGTAAAGCTTGTTCAGCTGAGGGATCGCACAAATCTGGGGTACTTGCTGACCGACATTGAACGGTCTCACTGTAAGACTACCTTGCACTTCAACATCCAAGAGATCTAGCGCGTCAATCACTGCCTTTGCGAGGTCGAGACTGTAAGCTTGTTCCAGTAAAAACAGCGGCATCATCCAGTCTGATCTTGCACTTCTTCTTACCGCCTTTAAGCTTCATCACCAGTTCCCGCGCCGCCGTGAGCTCTTTTCTGCCTGCTAAACGGAGTTTCTCACGTTTCGAGGGCCCGCTAACGCGTGGAGGTGATGCAAATGAAATCGGGGCTTCTGCAGACCCATCTATGGGCTCGAATTGTGCATTTTCTGTATTTTCCGGTGCGAATACGGTACCACAAGAAGACGAATCGGGTACAGTTGGTTCCGCCAAATCCACAGTTGTTTGAACTGAAGGCTCGCAAACGACTGCTCCTAAAAACCGCATTCTTTTCCTCCAGTTGATCGACATCTTCTTTCGCTTCAGTCGTCGCGGTGGTAGTAGAAGACGGTTGTACAAATAAAATTTGAGTCAGCTTCATCGAGGTCGACGGGGTAATTTCAGATACATCAGCTCTCATGACGAACTTGGTAAGCTCTCCCTTCTGTCGGCAGTCGTAAAATGCTTTCATCTCTTTAGCGCATAAGCTCTACTTGGTTGCATTGTTGCTTACGCAGCTGAAACCGGAGTTGATATCAGCTAGTGATGCTGCCTGGGAATCGCAACGTGGGACTGCTGAAGCCGGTGGCTCTGAACAATACTCGGCATGGAGATGATCATTTCGAGGCTTCGACTAAATCATTTAAATTTAATTTTTTGCAGCAATACATGACATATTAGAGTTTATTTATACGTCAAAATCGAGCCGGTGGAGCCAGTATTCTCCGTTATCGCTGCAACACACCGAACGTCCTCTCGATGTCTTTCCTTAGTGCTGATTGGAGTTTCGAATAATGTTTTTTGGACGTTGGTGTTGTTATACCTTCAGAAAGCACATGTCAATCCGGTTATATTCCATCCGCCAATAAATACGAAAATATCGCGATCATATTCCTACTCTCCGATAAATGGTCTTATCTGGGACATCGCCTAGTGGGAGCTCACCTGGCTCATATCCGTGAAATATGCCTTGCGTGAAGATGTCACGACGAGGGAAGCGTAAAGCTGCGCACAGATCTACTACATCAACTTCGTAACGAGCCTAGTTTCCCTTTTCACGAAAGAGTAGAATGGCCGTACGGCGTCTTGACTCCTTTTCAGTCGTAGATGGTCCAGGTAGTAATGCCATTGCAGCATCTAGCAAAATGACCTGACCAGTTGTATTATTCTCTGGCATCGAAAATCTGGATAGATCATGTCGCCGTGCTAATGAAGTGAACATGTGATTGCGTGTTATAGGTCCAGCTGCACCTCACTGGTGTACTCGTGCCGAAGTGTTTCACTTGCCAAGCTAAATATTGCTGCCGTCGCACGGTGGATGGACGGGAGAGCTACCGGGGTTACTGAATGACAGTAAAAATAACTCGAGCACAAAGTTGCCGATGATATCGCCCTGCCACTTGGATTCATCGCCACTTATAATACGCTTCTAACGGTGCTGCAGTAGCTGCTTGAAATTCTCATCGCTGAGGACGTCGAACTCGTTCTGTGAAGTACCTTTATTTCTACGAAAGAAGACCCACATGTTTTTAAGGCGGAGCTTGGAAAACACGGGGTCGCCAAACAGGCGTGCAATTTTTCCTCTCAGAACTTCAAAATCTTCTGAAACAGTAAGAAGAATCCTGCGCAAGACACCACCGCGCGACCGTTTTTCAATGCTATTTTTTCGGATCGTAACAACACCTTTTAGCAGAATAGGGTATATCGCTCATGGCGACGTAAGTGCAGACCCGCTCATCTGGAATCATTTAGATCACGAGTTATTTAGCCTAACATTATAAAAAAACCAATTTGAGCAGGGTTCCCCACCAAATACAGCCAGTTTTCACACGATATTCACAGCCTTCCGTTGCTCTGCGTCGAAGCTGTTGCTAACGTTAGTGCTCAGCTACGTATATCGCCACACCGGAGCGTTGGAA